TTGGAGATTATCTCCTCATGGGTATGTCATTTTTATAACGTTTTGGCACGTAACAACTGGGAAAGCAGAAGTGACGTGGGAATTCCAAATTGTGTGATGGTTCTGAACCAGGACCCTAGATCTGAAAGCAGCTAATCGAATATTGGCAGTTTTCAGACTCAGGGAAAAATTAAAAAAAAAAAAAAATTTTTAACATTAATTCATTTTTGAGAGACAGAGTACAAGTGGGGTAGGTACAGAGACAGAGAGAGAGACACAGAATCCGAAGCCGGCTCTGGGCTCTGAGCTGTCAGCAAAGACCCCAATGCGGGGCTTGAACTCAACGAACCATGAGATCATGACCTGAGCCGAAGTCGGACGCTTAACTGAGCCACCCAGGCACCTCCAAATTTTTTATTCTATTGATAAAAACTGGGAGTCATGTATTCCTCCTGGAATTTGCATACAGTAGGAACTGGGTCGGTAGTTTATGGGGGTTAGGAAGCACAGGGTACCGAGGGTTAACAATGGCATATGTTGCTCAGAGGTTCCAGACAAACCTCCATCTTTAGCCGTTGGGTTTTCACACCAGTAAAAACAGGTCATTACAGGGATTAGTGTAGAGGATGATGGGCCTCTGAGGCTTGTAATGTTCTATTATGGGCCTGATGCCTTAAAGAGCTTTTTTCTTTTAATAAAATTTTTTTAATGTTTATTTATCTTGAAAGAGAGAGAGGGAACAGGTGCGCACAGGGGAGGGGGGTGGGGAGAGGTAGAGAGAGAAGGAGAGAGAGAATCCCAAGCAGGCTCCGCGCTGTCAGGGTGAAGCCAACGTGGAGGGCGAACTCACGAACTGTGAGATCATGACCTCAGCTGAAATCGAGTCGGGCACTTAACCAGCGGAGCCACCCAGGCGCCCCAAGAGTTTCTTTATTTATAGGTATTGATTAATTGCAAGGAGGTCCTTTGAGAGATCTATTTTCATCTTGATGGGAGATACACTGTGGATTCTGCCAATATCGCTTAAGGATTTTGCCCAGGAAGCGGAGGGTAGGGAATCCAACAGAGACAAATGATCAGTGACCCCAGGTCCATTACAGTGCGTCAGAGATAGAGTGGATAAAAGATGTGGAATGGCCACGTATTTCCTTTGGTTGGCTATTTCGATTACTGTTTTCAGATTCTGGAATTATTTCCTCTGTCGAATAGGGGTGTAGGAACTATCTCTCAAAGGGTCTAGACAAAGGGGAGTGGGTTCAGAGACAGGAACCTATTAACGTTCACTAGAGATGCTGCCTCCTCCCCCCCCCCCCCCCCCCCCCCCCCCCCCCTGCCCCACCATTGGAACTGTTTTAGGCCTTCCAGGCAGAGGCTACTTTACAGCAAGGGGTTGGGCACCAAGAATGTAGCTCTCCGGTCAACAAGGACAGAGATTCATTCCCGATGTGGAGAATGGTTTCTCTGAGCTGCTTATGAGGGAGGATTGGGAAGAGTCCCTGTGGTTCCCTAGAGCCCCGTCACTGGGGATGAGGAAGGAGGACGTTGGAAAGGCCGGCTGGAGGGATGCAGGTATGGGAGCACTTAAACTGGTAGCAAGTGGTCTTTTTTCCAGTGTCCTGGCCCTTTGCAAGAATAGGAGAACCTAGTTAGTTTCTGGGTTTATTTAGGAACCTGCATTGCCAGAATGGAAAATCAAGAATTTTAGTGGTTTTGGGGCACCTGGGTGGCTTCGTTGGTAGAGCGTGCTATTCTTGATCTCAGAGTCATGAGTTCAAGCCCCACTTGGGCATGGACTCTACTTCAAAAAATAAATAATGGGGCGCCTGGGTGGCTCAGTTGGTTAAGCGTCTGACTTTGGCTTAGGTCATGATCTCATGGTTCGTGGGTTCAAGCCCTGCACCAGGCTCTGTGCTGACAGCTCAGAGCCTGGAGCCTGCTTCGGATTTTGGGTCTCCCTGTCTCTCTCTGCCCCTCCCCTGCTCATGCTCACTCTCTTAAAAATAAGTAAACATTAAAAAAAAATTTTAAATAATAAAAATAAACCAGTAAATCAAAACAAAGAATTTTAGTGGTATTTTTGTAACTCATCTAGGATGTGTGTGAGCCATTTGCCAAACTAAATCTGCAATGGACATATTTTACCATTCTATCCCGGTCCTCTTAGTGAAAAGGGAAAGATAACTGGCTCTGCCCTTTATTTTATTTTATATATTTTATTTATTTTATTTATTTTAATTTTTTTTTAACGTTTATTTATGTTTGAGACAGAGAGAGACAAAGCATGAACGGGGGAGGGTCAGAGAGAGGGAGACACAGAATCTGAAACAGGCTCCAGGCTCTGAGCTGTCAGCACAGAGCCCGACGCGGGGCTCGAACTCACGGACCGCGAGATCATGACCTGAGCCGAAGTCGGCCGCCCAACCGACTGAGCCACCCAGGCGCCCCACTGGCTCTGCCCTTTAATAAACATAGACTTACATGCTACCTGGGTGGATTCTGTATCTACAGGTGGACAATTTTCTTTAAAGAGAACGAGTTGATTTTAATTGTCATGAACAAGGCTGATCGTGATGCACTGTTGACCTTAAAAATAAACCCAAATATGGCTTGTCTGGGAATAGCAGAGAATTATGATTTGGGACGTGTGAAGCCCCAGCAAAAGAACAGGAAAATCTGGAAAAGAAAGGGAGGAACACTCTTTTGTAGAGGAGAGGGGGCCGTTGGGAGGGGCTGTCCCAAACACGAAGTCCTTTTGAGCAAACTGGGGTTTCCATGTGTAGTGGCTTCTCATTGGCTGGACTGTGGTCGTCTCTCATTGGCTGAGATGTGACTCTCTCACTGGCTGAGCCCTGGCTCTCTCTCATTGGCTGAGCCGTGGTTGTCTCACATTGGCTGGGTTGTGACTGTCTCTCATTGGCTGGGTTGTGACTGTCTCTCATTGGCTGGGCTGATGCCACCCGAGGAAATAGTCTTCCTTCCTCCTGCATGAACAGTGATGCATTATGGGTGTGCAGGTGCGTCTCTCCGTGTTGTGTCTGCCCTTGGCCCTGAGCGGCAGGTTGGGGAGCTTCCCCTGTAGACTCCTGACTCCACTTCAGTCGTGTCGCCTTTACTCAGCCTGGAAGAGGTGCCCGGCTTCTGGGTGGTTTTCATCCCTGGCG